TTTTTTTTTTTTTTTTTTTTTTTTTTTTTTTTTTTTTTTTTTTTTTTTTTTTTTTTTTTTTTTTTTTTTTTTTTTTTTTTTTTTTTTTTTTTCCTCCTCGAGTTGTGGTTCTTAAGTTTTTTTCCTTGTTTTTTTTCTCCGTTTTGTCATTTGCAGGGCTATATCGTGGTTTGCAGTTGGCTGTTATTATTACTGTATTCGGCAGTACGATTCTGCGCGAAGATACTTCTGGTGTGTGCTTCCTCAAGTACGCTTTTGCTTTTCCTGGTGCTTGCTTGCTATTTTCCAAATGTTACCAGATTTTGCTGTGTCGTGGCTCGTGTCTTCCTCACCTCTACCACAGATTCTTTCATCGAAGGTTTTGCCTTGTCTTTTTCCTTCTGCACTCTTTCACGCTCAGGTTGTTCATGCTCATACTTGCATCGACACAGGCTAAAGAATTTGTTTATGGGAGCAGTGAAGTTGATTGATCTATCCGCCAGAATCTACCTGATGTCAATTTCTCTCTACCCTCTCTCTCTCCTTCTCCCTCCCTCTCTCTCTCTCTCTCTCTCTCTCTCTCTCTCTCTCTCTCTCTCTCTCTCTCTCTCTCTCTCTATCTATCTATCTATCTATCTATCTATCTATCTCTATCTATCTATCTATCTATCTATCTATCTCTCTTGCACACGCGCGTGTGCCTTCCCGCCTTCCGTCTCTGACGTTCTGCCCTTTCATGAGCCCGTTTGGGTCTCTTCACCTCACTGTCCTTCTGTGTCTTCCCTTCCCCTGATCTCTTCAGCTCACCTCCCCTCCCCCCCAGAAAAGACTCCTCCACTCTCTCACTTCTTCCTCCCTTCCCCTTTCCTGTCTTCCTACCTAGGCTTGTGTTTCTATCGTTGACTGTGTGTGTGTGTGTGTGTGTGTGTGTGTGTGTGTGTGTGTGTGTGTGTGTGTGTCTGTGTTTGATTGGGTGCTTTTGTGGTGTTTTGGCTGTTGGTTTGTGTGCAATACATCAGCAAGGCAACAACCTTGGATGGTGCTTTTGCACCAGCCTGGCTAGGATTCGGTCATGCATATGCAGCACAGGATGAGAGTGACCAGGCAATGGCAGCGTATCGGACCGCGGCAAGACTATTTGATGGGTGAGTCACTTTGAAGTTTGATGTTCGCCCTGCTGAACGTGGGTGAATCCGGGCCCGCAACCTCCCCTCTTCTCCCTTTCTGCCCCCAGTTCACTGGGCAGTTCTTTGTGACAGAGGAAAAAAGGAAAGTTTGTCATGTTGGATGTGTGTATTGTGGATGGCCGCTGGTTCAGTGGTTAGATCACCAGTTGGAAACGCGCATTGTGGTATGAGGTTGTGGGTTCAAAACTCCGTGGCCTCGCACATGTACATGGGAAGTGCTTTTCTAACGCCGAAGCCACTCACCCCCCCCGCCCTCTTGGGATGACGCATGGTAAGATTTATACAGATTGCCTGCGCACCACCCAAGGGGTCTAGGTCCATGGTTGTAGTATGCTGGATAGGGCCATAGGGAGAGCTGCTTGAGTGCTTGGTCTTAGGGGGTCTGTCGTCTTATCTTGGCTCCACCATGGGCTGGGGGGAGGGTGAAGGGGGGATACGTTAGGGGAGGGTTCACTGCCTAGACTGTAGATAACCAAAAAACTGCTGAAACCTGCCGAAACTGTCGATCCCCCTGCATGACCGTTTGTACCCTTCGATCTGTTAGTGTCATGAGTATGTACTAGTCCATGGGGGTGCCATCGTCGAGTCTGATCGCAGCCAGTATGTTTCCCGTCACTATGGCACCTGTACAAGAGTCCACACAGAGCGAACTTAGACTATGGTAGGGCCCATCGTGGGGAAGGAAATCCTACGCACACACTGGGTGTTAGTATGGGATAGGTACTGGGTACTTCTCACCCCACAGGTATCTCACAATGCCTGTGGGCGGTGCTTCATCCAGGCTGGGGTCCGTGGGAATTCTCATTGGGGGAATTAGTCGGAATTGTGGATTCTTAGGGAGCCTTGGGTAGGAAGGCATCATGCTTTGGATAGGGGAGTGCGGGATATTGCATCTTAGTGGAAGGGCGGTTCGCTGCCCATAGAATCTGTGGGATGAGGCACAGATGATGGGGGATGACTGCAAATGCATGGACCCCACCTGTGCCCGGGTCGTGGTTAACATTAGACTAATGGGAGGGTAGCGTCTGCACAAAGACGTTCGGGTTAGTCCGGTAAGCGTTGGTGCAGATCATGACTTCGATCTGAGAATTAGCATATAGGTCACGGTGTGAGGAAACCCAGGGAGGGAACCTTCTCATCGCCGCTGAAGCCAGGGACAGCAGTGTCTGTCACTCACCGTGTCCGGATCAGAGGTCCGCAGCAACGCAACAGGAGAGTGTGGCTTCTGGCCTGTTACACGCCCACTCAAGGCTGACCTGAATGCCGCTCATCGGTGAAGATCTTTTAGTGAAGATAAAATATTACCTTTGCCCACTGATCTGAGTTCTATTGAAGATCTGTTCTTAAGGCTCCCAGATAGGTTTTTGGATTCACAGCGTGATTTCGCGCAACAGTGACTATAATATTTGTAGCAATCGGAGGGCAATTACACTCAGAAATAAAGTAAAAACTTTTCCAGCAAAGAGGGCAATCAAACAATGAGACTGAACCAAAGGCAAAATCAAAGATGTTCAATACCCTAGGGGTACATTTACAGTTCGCCCTTGTCAAAGTTGTACCCGTTGCTCCGCGCGCTACCGGAGTATTTCAGCGATTCCTCCCCCCCCCCAAAGTTCACGCGGATTCAACTGAGTGATGGTCTTGATACGGTTACGGGGAAGCGCAGAGTATGCAGTTGACGTTGTCTATGCAAACATTCTTTACTCATGTCCGTGAAGCAGCCCGCTCCGATCGTTCTCTGGGGTGAAATCTGATGCAATTTGGGCTGTCGTTCGTCCTATAACCTGTGTTGTGCCTGAACACACTGCAGTCATTTGCCCATTCCCTCATCGCCTATTCCAATCTCCCTCTATGAGTGCCACGGCCGCTCATGCAGTGATTGAGTCACCCTGAGTTGCTCTCCGCTGCTGCACCACCCTGGGAGGGTGGTCGCCCCAATAGCGTTCAAAACATCGTGGCACTCGTTCCCTACGTGAATTTACCCCTATTATGGCGACGCTGACATTGCACGGGCAGAGGGCACACACGGACTCTCTCTCCCTCTTCTCTCACTTCCTCCGTCGTTTTCGCTTTCCTTCCCCCTCTTACTCTCTCTCTCTCTCACGAGCCTGTCATAGGTCTCGCTTTTGTCAATTAGGAGCCTTCGACTGGCTCTCGACTTCCCAGCTGCTTTAGGTGTGAATGAACCGGGCCTTTCCTGTCAACTCAGTACATTACATTCGAGACTAGAGAACAGGTTCACATTCACTCAGCACACGCGCGCGACTCCACTCATTTAAGCATTAATTCATCTCAGCGACCATGCATTCCCTAGCTCGCCGCCATGCCACGCAGCATGCCTGTGACCCGCAGGTCACATGATCGAACGATGCAGACTCTTCTGCTAGAGCACGTCGCGAAGCGTACCCGTATTTCCCCTCTGACTTCCGCAGCGCCGCTTGTCTGGCTATTACTTTCATTTACAGCCATGGGTGTCTTGCCATCATGCTTTCTTAAGGTCTCTTTCAGATAAAGCGGAAGGTTTGGAGGGTCTGAATTCTGCGTTCTATTAAGTCCTTTCGGGATTGTTCTCGGAACATTACAAAATTAAATTAGTAAACAAATAGGCCAGTCCGATCAATCGCGATTTGAATTCCAAATGCTTGTTAGTAATGGAACGTTTAACCGCTATACCTCCGATTTTTCCCGAATGTTCCCTCGTCTTAGACGCCCGGCAGAAGGCCACCCATCCGCTCTCTCAGCCCGCTACGACACTAGTTTGGTTAGGAATTAGACAAATGGGTGATCTCTTCGAAACAGCGGATTTAGCGTATACATGAAATTGGCTTCTCCTCGCCTGATACTCAAGTTCACCCAATCAGAATCGTTGGTTGGTCACGCGCGACTGATGTATGGAGCTGCTTCACTTCAAGAGCCGTCCCGAATCCGTTTCGGAATAAACAAAAATTAATTGAAGTGCGTACCTTTCCGCAGATTATCCGCAACGCGGCGTAATGAAGGAGTTTCTCACAGGATTTGGAATCCCGACTATCGATCTAGCTTCGAGGGAGGGGATGTAATTGGCATAGCTCACACAAGTGCTCAGATTCAGCCTCTCCATCGGTCCATTCGTAATCAAATGGCTATCTGTATTCTTGCCTCAGTGCTATGCAAGCACCCGCGTTCCGTTGTGCACATCCCTCGTCACACTCGTCAACCGGGCCACCTCGGCTCTGACAGAAGGGTTGAGTTTCCCTGACCGAAGTCTGTCATCCATCATTATCACGCCTCTTCCGACTGTATGCACCGTGATTACCCTGATCGATTCACTCGCACTCTGTGAACGCTAGGCGAGACTGCCCCAATTGCCCCTTCTCCCCATGTCTCGCTTCTGCTCCGAGTTGAGCAGCGCACGACGCACGTCAGGCACGCTTCCATCAGACGGACCGAAACTCAGGCACGCTGAGTACGCCTGACACGCCGATGAACCTCTCTTCCTCCCTTCTGTCCCATCCACTGTGCATGATTGTGTCAAGTCGGCAGGGGCTACGCACGCCTGTTACACACCCCGACACTGGTCCGCCCGCCTGATTGTTCACGCGCCCCCCCTACAGTCCATACTACGCATAACTCTCTTGCTGACCGCCCTCCGAATGGGCGTGTCTCAGATCGCCTTCAATGCGGACTGGGTACACCTGGCGCGTCCGTCCGAATGTCCCTCGTCCCCATGAATCCCTGCACCTTGCCAATCCGGCCTATATCCCCATGGTACCAGAGGCCATGGCCTTAAGGGGATGCCAGCATAGCCAGCTTTGCAATGTCAGGGCCGATATCAGGGCTGTAGGTCCGATGTGGATATACCGGTGCCGGCTGGGGGGCCAGTTAACGCTATGAACAGAATGGTAAGCCCATTCCCGTGCCGAGCCAGCACCCACGCCAATATTGCAGTGGCAACCACAGTGAATAGTATCAGGAACCACACCACGAAGTAAAAGTCTCCAGCCGCAGTGTACCGTCTCAATATCGAGCTAGTAACCATGTCGTCGTGACCGGGCTACCTGTCAGTGACGGCACCAAACTGAAAGTATCGAACTAGGCAAACCCATTGTCGTAAAGTGCCAAGCCTCAGACCGTACGGAGTACCGTTCCAACCAAAACAAAGCGTCCGTGTGCCTTACCAATGACAAAATAGTGAGCAGCAGCCGTCCGAACCGGGGTGCAGTACCGTATCTGTTCCGAACCTGAAAATAAGTACCAGCCTGCAGTACCGCGCCGATGCTGAACCAATAACTGTGCCACTCCGAACTAGTGGTCATTCCGGTCGTCTCAACAGTGAACTGAAGTAGCCCGTACCGATGCTGTCCCAATGACAGTACCATACCAGTTCCGAACCAGTAACCGTACCAGAGTAATAGTGTTGAGTGTCCCCAAAATCGAGGCGATGACCGCACCATAGCAATCACGTCGCCGTAACCCGAGAATCGGTCCCGCTTACTCAACAACATCAGGGTCATACCGAGGGTAGCAATCAGATCAATCTGGCTTAATCAAGCGTGGGTTCATAGATATCGGAACTCGCAAAGATCAACGGACTCAGGGGAAATAAATAATTCCCGGCAGAAATCCATCAAGAATAAATCCTGATAAAAATTAATCAAATAATCGTTAATCATTTGCTTTCTCTTCTCTTATTATCTTTAATTCTTTTGCGCACTATTAATTCTGTTATTGGAACTAATGAAAATGGGGAACAATCTTGTCAAGGATAGATTCTGATGAAATTTAATTAAATACCATTTATTCCTTTATTTTCTTCCCTTTTATTATCTTTATTTCTTTTTCTCAATTTTTAATTTGGTTATTAAAATTAGCGAAAATTGAGGGTTTATTTCCTCGTCAACGGTCCAGTGTAGAAGAAGCGCGCCGAGGCCTAATACCATACCTCAGTTCCGTGACGGTAGGTGTTAGGCGCGGCAGAC